AGTAAAAAAACTAATTTCGTTGTTTTTTTAATTACCTTATTAAAAATGCCTTTTTCAATTGTATCGGGGTCGCGCGGGTCACTTGACTTTTATAAAAAGGGGTCGCCACCCGAAAAAGGTTGGGAACCGTTGGTATAGATGAATTTACTTATATTCGAAAGTTAAGATGAATCCTATATCTATACTAATATTATAAAGAGGTAATGTTTGTATGTATGTTAGTTTGTATGCAGCAGGTAATCTCCGAAACTACTCATCCATTTCAAAAATTCTTTCACCAATATTTAGAATGGAACTTCAGGGTGGACATAGGTTGTATATTATTCCGTTAAACATGGGAGATGGACAGTTCTTTACGGTAAGCCTTATGGGGAAGGCTTACCGTAAAGAACTCTGCTTCTATTTATACTATTTTAGATGCGATTTTTTGCATTTTTGATTGTGTTTTAATAGAGTATGTAAACAGAATGTACACTAAGAAGGGATTTTTTTGATATTCCCCCCGCAGGGGAGAGGGACAGGATTAAGGCTTACTGTGAAGAACTTGGCTTCTATTATACTATTTTAGATGTGGGTTTTTGCATTTTTGATTGCGTTTTAATAGGGTACGTCAAGAGAATGTACACCAAGAAAAAATTTTTCTAAAAATTTTCCCCCACGGGGGAAGTGTTATACATTTATAATAGATACATTTTGAGCCACAACAAGGCGTGGCGGGGTCTGCTAGTTTTAGATACAAAGAATGTGTCATGTAAGGTAAAAAAAAAATGGTAAATTACATATACAAAAACAAGATAATAATTCAGAACTACTCAATTTAAAACTGAACTTTTCAAAAATTTATTTATTTCAGTAGCTATTCAAATTTCATTATGTTCATAGAAAAATATTGAATATGAAATTTTCTGGACATTTAAAAATAAATTAATTTTATAAAAATTTTTTTGGGGAAATTGAAATTTACAAATTCATAGATTGAATTTAATAACTATGTTATACATAATATTTTAGTTTATGTAAATAATAATTTAATCTATAACTTCAACAGAAGACTGAAATGAATGGAACTATAATTTGTCTAAGTATCTTACAAAATGTCAAAACTTAAATTAGATTCTTTAGATATTTAGATATGATTCTTAGATTCATACTAAAAAACAAATATCTATCTTTACCTGTTTTATACAAAATAAACTTTATTTGAATTCATTATTTAATTTTCAGTAATTTTTTTAAGGAAAAAAAAAAGTTCTATTCTATGGAATATATCTATATATTACTTTTAATCATATAATAATAGTGTAATAATTGCTAAGCTATTATTATCTTACATTGATTTTTTCATCATGCAGAATCTATATATAATTTTACTTTATTTATAGAGGTTATTTCTGTATTTTAACCATCAATTTTATAAATTAAAAGTGTAATTTATAACAGTTGTATTTATAAAACATTAACTATAGAAACAACAACTTCATAAATTTAAGAATCAAGATATACAAAAACTTCACTTAGTTCATTAAGCTCTTTCATGCATTGACTATTATTAACTAATTTGTTTTTCAATTTAAACATTTTATATTTTAATCTAAAAAATAAAAACAAATATTTCTTAATTTTGTAATATTGTAATTATAGAGGCAATTTTTGATGTATTAGTTAAAACTGATAAAACTTCACAATAACTGATTTTCAAAGCTGACGACAAATTCTTTAACTATCAATACAGACAGAATACTACATTTTGATAAAGTAAAATCTTTAAATATAGATTCAATTGGTTAAGTACTGTTTGGTTTTAATCCATGTTGACACAAACCTTTTGAATTTATTACTTTAGTATATTTGTTCAAATTATTGCAAAACATTTTAAAACTAAACATTTTAGTCCAGTTGATAAAAACTTAAGATTAAACTTTACTGGTTAGTCAAAAACTTATTAATTCTAAAAATTTATTATGTATGAAAACGACGATTCCTCAAAAAATCTTCATTAGCATAATCCCTATTTTGCCTGTCTAGTTTGCATGAATTAGCATTTCTTAAATATCTTTTCTTCCAGAACATTTTTAATTAATTATGAAAAACTCATTTTAAAATTTTATTGAGTTATAAATGAAGGTGGCACTATTTAGGCCAAATTATTTCAATAATTTAATGGAACCTTACTTTTATTATGATCTGAGAAATCAAGTATAATTTAGCTTATATACTGATGTATAAATATACATGAATACAATCTAAATCAAAATGTTTTTAGATTTTTCTAAAATTTTAAATTAATCATTAAAATAATTGTAAACTTATATATGGTTAACAGTTTAACTATTAAAAATTTTGAAAGATAAATCTGAGTAAGAGATTCNAATAACTATGTTATACATAATATTTTAGTTTATGTAAATAATAATTTAATCTATAACTTCAACAGAAGACTGAAATGAATGGAACTATAATTTGTCTAAGTATCTTACAAAATGTCAAAACTTAAATTAGATTCTTTAGATATTTAGATATGATTCTTAGATTCATACTAAAAAACAAATATCTATCTTTACCTGTTTTATACAAAATAAACTTTATTTGAATTCATTATTTAATTTTCAGTAATTTTTTATTGATAAAAAT